CAGCTTAGTAACTTAATCAAACCCTGCCTCAAAATAAAAAAATAAAATAAAATAAAGGATTACTGATGTAGCTCAGTGAAAAGGCCCTGGGTTCAATACCAAGTATAATATATATATTTTTTCCCATTAACTCAGAAAATATGGCATTATAAAAGTCATGGAAGCCGGGTGTGGTGGCACACACCTGTAATCCCAGCACGTGGGAGGCTGAGGAAGGAGGATTGTTACAAGTTTGAGGCCAGCCTGGGCTACAAAGTGAGCTCAAGGTCAGCCTGAACTGTATAGAGAGGCCCTGTCTCAAAAAAAAATAAAAAATAAAAAAATAAATAAAAAAATAAAAGTCACGGGGGTTGGGCTGAGGATGTTAACTTTCCTTGGATTTTAACAGAATAAAATTTTTCTTTCAGTTGATGTGCTCTTTTTTCTGAATTCCAAAGTTCACAGGCAAGTTGATATTTGGCTTCGAGCAAAGGAAAAAAAGATAGGTGTGCAATTTATAAACAGCTACTGATGAAGATATTATGTTTCTTTGTTGTACATTTCACAAACAGATTACATAACCTTTACAGGGTATGTCATAAGCAGCAGCTACTTATTTAAATATCATATGCTAAGCACACAAGGATCCTTGGCCTCTTACTTCCTGTGATTTGAAGTGGGTTTCGTTACCTCCTTTCTTTCCTCTTGGTGGGTAGAAGGGGAAGAGAAGGGACAGAGAAGCAGGGATGACAGGAATGTTCTTGTAGGTCAGCTGGGAGAGTCACAAATGCACTCCCTATTCATCTCCCCAATCTGACACCCACGCCCGTATTACATAGGGAGCCCCCATGCAGATGAGAAAAGCTTTATATTGCATTGAAAATGACACAATAATTGAGTGTTTCTTGCTGTCTTCCCCTGTGTTTACAGGCCCAAAGCCAGGCATGATTTCCACTTCTTCAACCACAACCTTTTCTCATCCCCACATGCAATCTCTCTTGATACTTCCTTGATTTCCTTGAGAACGAACCATTTATACAGGGCATTGCCTTGTTTCTCTTCTTCCCCTTTAGACTAGTTGAAAAACACATTACCTTTGTCAAGCACCATTACTTTTATCAAGGCACTGTTTGCTGAGAGCTTGTTGGGGGTCCACACCTTTACCAAATACCAGGTAGACAAAATACAAGAAGTGCACTCCCTATTGGGACATTCTAACCTTGTTGTTTTTCGTCCTGGAGGGATTCTCCCCTCTGACCAGCTGTCTTAGCCTAGAAATTTTGCCCATCCCTTATTTAAGATAAGATACAACAAATTAGAATTCTGTTGTTGTTCTGATACAACAAATTAGAATTCTGTCTCACTTTGAAAAGTATAACTTCTGGAACTGGAAGTTCAAAGACTAACACTTAGGTTCTGGCTTAGTTCCCTAAAAACTCATAGTACCCTTGTGGATAGGTCACTACTATTCATGATTTAATTGCTCCCATTTTGATTCCTGTTATTTTCACTTCAGATGATGATTTTTTTACCTCATTTTCAAATTTTGATTTGGATATTACTGATGCCATGAAATCAAGAGGAAAGATTAAGCTTGAAGAAAACGTACATTTCAGTGTTTTTGTTTGTTTGTTGTCTTTTTGAGACAGGGTCTCGCTATGCAGTTCAGGCTGGCCTTGAGCTCACTTTGTAGTCCAAGTTGGTCTTGAACTCGCAATGATCCTCCTGCCTCAGCCTCCTGAGTCCTGGGATTACAGGGGTGTGCCATCACGCCCAGCACATTTGAGCTCTTAAAAAAGAACTGATGTCAGGTGTTGTGGTGCATGCCTGTAATCCCAGCACTCGGGAGGCTGAGGCAGGAGGATTGCTGTGAGTTTGAGGCCAGCCTGGGCTACAAAGTGAGCTCAAGGCCAGCCTAACTGCATAGCGAGACCCTGTCTCAAAAAGAAAAAAAAAAAAAAAAAGAAGTAAATTATCTTATTAGCCCCAAATTATCTTTTACTATTAAATTTGCATTGTTTCTATTTCAAACCAAAATATATTCTCTTTTATTTTCCTACCTAAACCTCCAGAGTAAAGGTTGTATCTATGTATCTTTGTGTATATCACACATACACACCTCAAATAAATGTTGCTAATGTACCTTTTTTTCAGTGAAGACTGAGGATAAGTGTAATACTATAGCAGGAGAGTAGTAAGACACTCTCAAGAGGTATGCCAAGGTTAGGTACAAAGCTGCACACCTGTAATCTCAGCTACTTCGGAGGCTGAAGCAAGAGGATCACAAGCTTGAAGTCAACCTGGGCAATTAAGTGGGACTCAAATAATAAATAAATAAAAAGGGCTGGGGATGTAGCTGAGTGGCAGAGCGCCCCTAGGTTTGATCTCTGGTACCACCAAAAAAAGTGGTGTGCCAACAACAGGTACTTGTTGTCCATGAGAAGACTCCTCCCATCTTTACAAGTTGTGATGTGCTAGTATATGAAGAGCTCTGTACAGGGGCAAAAACCCTGACACAGAAGCAGGGGCAGGAAATACATCTCATATAAAGAAGAAGATGAAAGGGATAAACAAATTAAGCAATCAGGAGTCCTGTTACTTCCCAGATTCAACTCAACTCAATAAAAAACTAGAAACTAGCATAACAGGTTTTCATTCCAACTAGGCCAGACTGAAGTATAGCCAGGCTGAGATTATAAAGCCACATTTGACCTCACAAGATAAATTACTGGCATCAATCCTGTATCAGTTAGGGTTCACTAGAGGAACAGACTATATATATGATACATGATTTAGAAAAGCCAGATGTGGAAGAGTTGCAAAAGAGGCGACTTTGTGCTGGAGATTCGAAAGATCCAGTCGCAAGTAGAAGACCTGGAGCTCATCGCAGAGTCTGGTTTGAGTGCACATCAGAAAGCTGAAGAATCTGTGCTAGAATCCTGGAGACAGACATCCAAAGGTGATTATGAAAACTGGAGCTCCTAGAGCCGGGCATGGTGGTGCACACCTGTAATCCCAGCACTCGGGAGGCTGAGGCAGGAGGATTGCTGTGAGTTTGAGGCCAGCCTTGGCTACAAAGTGAGTTCAAGAGCAGCCTGTGCTACATAGCGAGACCCTGTCTCAAAAAGACAAAAAACAAAACAAAACAAAACAAAAAAGGGGAGCTTCTCCAAAGAAACATAAATAAGACTTCCTTCTTCATTCTCTTTTTATTGTATCTAGGCCACAATCGTATTGGTTGGATCCACCCACACCCAGGATAGGTTATCTATCTTCAGTAAGTCAATCATGCAGACACAACCAGAACTGTGCTCAACCAACCAGCTAGGTATTTCTTTTTTTTTTTTTTTTTTTTTTTTTGGTTTTTCTCCGGTACCGGGAACCGAACTCACGACCTTGCGCTTGCCAGGCAGGCGCTTTGCCGCTGAGCTAAATCCCCAGCCCCTCAGCTAGGTATTTCTTATTCAAGTTGACACCACAGTTAACTATCACAGAGCTCCTCTGGTTTATACTGAAAGCACGCACACAGTGACCCAGAAATGGTCATTGGCTTAGGTCCCAAAGTAGATAGAATAATCGTCCTCCAAATATCCATGTTCTAGACTCTGGAAACTGAATATGTATCCTTACATGTCAACGAGAAATTAAGGCTGCATATTAAATTAAGGTTGATAATCAAATAATCTTATAATAGGAAAATTATCCTAGATTATCTGGTGGGTCCAGTGTAATTACAAGCATCCTTAAAAGCAAAAAAGAGAATCAGAATGAAGTGATGAGAAAAACTAGAGTGACCATTGCTGTCTTCAAAGATGACCTGGACAAGAGAATGCCAGCAGTCTCTGCAGCTGGAGAAGGCAAAAACATGAATTTTTCCTTAGAGTTTCCAGAAAAGAATGCAATCTTGCCAGCACCATGATTTTTGTTGTTGTTGTTGTTTTTTTGGTTTTTTTTTGTGGTACCGGGAATCAAACTCACAACCTTGTGCTTGCCAGGCAGGCACTGTGCTGCTGAGCTAAATCCCCAGCCCCCAGCACCATGATTTTAGCCCCCTGAAATCCACTGTGGACTTCTAACCTCAGAACTGTAAGGCAATAAACATTAATGTGTTAAACCACTGAGTTTGTGCTAATTTGTTATAGTGGCTATAGTAAATTTAAAAACCCCATATAACCTTTTGGTGATATTTATATTTTTTGTTCTATTGGAATTTTATAAATTGCTTGTACAAATAAAAGAAAAATGATTTTCTGTTCTTCTTCACCAATTCTCCCCATCTGAAGTTATAAATATTATAGTTATCATGCCCCAGGTCATTCTGTGTCTGTGTGTCTGAAATTTTTAAATGTGTAACTTGCTTTTTATTTTGCCTTTTATTTATTTATTTATTTATTTTTGTCCTTTTGAGACAGGGTCTCACTATGCAGTTCAGGCTGGCTTTGAGCTCACTTTGTAGCCCAGGCTGGTCTCGAACTTGCAACAATCTTCCTGCCTCAGCCTCCCAAGTACTGGGTTTACAGGCGTACACTACCATGCCTGGCTTATTTTGTCTTTTAGAGACAGGGTCTCACTGTATACTTCAGGCTGGCCTTGAACTCAGTTTGTAGCATAGGCTGGCCTCAGACTTGCAGTGATCCTCCTGCCTCAGCTTCCCAGCTTCCCAACTGCTGGGATTACAGGCATGCACCACCACGCCTGACTTCGTAACTTGCTGGTTTTTTATTTAAAATTCTTGATTGCTACAAGTTTGAGGCCAGTGTGGGCTACATTGTGAGATTAAGACAGGCCTGAACTACATAGGAAGGCCCTGTCTCAAAAAACAAACAAGAAAACAACAAAATTGTATGAAAATTTCTTCAGGCCATTTCACTTGACTATAACTATAGATCTTTCTTTTTTTTTAAACCAGGAATCGAACTCAGGACCTTGCGCTTACCAGGCAGATGCGATGCCACTGAGATATCTCCCAGGCTCATGAATATAACACATTATAAGAATTAGCCCAATGTGGTGGCACACACCTGTAATCCCAGCACTCAGGAGGCTGAGGCAGGAGGATCCCCTTGAGTTTGAGGCCATGCTGGGCTACACAGTAGTCTAGGACCAGTCTCTGCCACACAAAGATCCTGGCTGAAAACAAAACAAAACAAAACAAAGCAATTAAAATATTACCCAGGCAAAAGCTGTAGCACACATTGTTATCCCAGAACTGAGAGACAGAGGTAGCAGTATCACAAATTCCAGCCCAGTCTGGACAGTTTAGCAATTTACCAAGACTGTCTCAAAACAAAAAATAGCCGTGCGTGGTGGCGCACACCTGTAATCCCAGCACTAGGGAAGCTGAGGCAGGAGGATCTTTTCGACTTTGAGGCCAGCCTGGGCTACAAAGTTAGCTCAAGGCCAGCCTGAACTGCATAGCGAGGCCCTGTCTCAAAAATGACAAAACAAAAAATAAAAAGGCTGGTGATGTAGCTCTGTGCAAAAGTCCTCAGTTTATTCTGCAATATCACAAAATAAAAACATTACTCTCTTTTTGTGGTACTGGGAGTCAAACTCAGGACCTTGCGTTTGCCAGGCAGGTGCTTGTGCCACTGAACTATATCTCTGGCCCTAAAACATTGTTTATAGGGATGAGGATGTAGCTCACTGAGAAGACACTGTGTTCAATCTCCAGGATAAAAAACTAAAATACTACGCAGGGCATGGTGGGGCATGCCTGTAATCCCAGCACTCTGGAGGCTGCTGCAGGAGGATTGTTGAGTGTTCGAGAACTGCCTGGGCTACAAAGTGAGCTCAAGGTCAGCCTGAACTGCATAGCAAGACCCTGTCTCAAAAAGATAAAAATAAATAAGTAAATAAATAAGTAAATAAAACACAGGACCTCACTAAGTTGCTAGAATGCTCAGGTTGGGCCCAGAACTATGGCCTTCCTGCCTTAGCCATCCAATTTTTTATTGACAATTTTTAATATTAGCAATACATGTGAATAAGTGGAAAATCCATGTTCTACACTTTGGTAGAAGATGTTAAATGAGCTGAACAGGAGGATCTAAAGTTCAAGCCCAGCTTGGGCAATTTAGAAATTTGTCTCACAAAAAAAGAAGGAAGAAGAAGAAAAAAGAAAGAGAAAGGGGAGGGGCAGGGAGGTGGGGGAAAGGAAGGGGCAGGAAGGAGGAGGAAATGAAAAGAAAAAAGAATAAATACATTTATAGATACTTAAATAAATATGCTGTTAAGTGGAAGCTTACCTCTTTTCCTTCTTCTGTATCTCTTTCCAAAGGCAGCTACTGCACAAAGTTGGTTGTGTTTTCTTGTAGAATTGATACCCACACACACCCATGCTCACTTGTTTGTCCTCTCTAACATTCATGCTGGAGCCAGGCATGGTGGCACATGTCTGTAATTCCAGCACTCGGGAGGCTGAGGCAGGAGGATCCTTGCAAATTCCAGACCAGCCTGGGCTACAAAGTGAGCTCAAAGCCAGCCTGAACTGCATAGCAAGACCCTGCCTCAAAAAGACAAAAACATAAAAATCATGCTGGAACTTTATTGCCATTCTAAAAGCCAAAAAAGCCAAACAAATAAAGATAAAGAAAAACATGTCTAAATGATTGGGGGTATCTAGTCCCACATTGTTCTTCAGAAATTACACTCAGTTAATTTTTCCTGTCAATAGACTGTCCTTGCAATAAACTATGAGAATGCCTGTTTGATCACACTCGCATTATCACTAGATATCTTCATAAATATTTAAATTTTTTGCTAATCTTATAGGTAAGGCATAACAGAGTCTCTTCCAATCAAAAAAATTTTGAGAGCTAATACCAAACTATGTACACTATTCATTTTACTTACTATTACTTTGTATATTTGTTTTCAAATATTTAAGTGATCCTAACATTTGTCTTTTCTAATGGTAATAATAATCTATTGCCTAAACATGTCACAGTTTGCCCAGTAAATTTTCCACTGTGGTATTTCAAATGCTTTCTAAATTTGACTGGAATATGATATACAGATGAAAATGTACAAATGGGTGCACCTTTTTCTCTTCTTTTGAAGTATTTCATTGGTAAATATTGTTCACTTTCTACTAGCAATTTGGAAAAATTCTTTTTCACCCAAAACACTGTTAACAACGGTCACTTTTTTTTTTGTCTTTTTTGAGACAGGGTCTCAGTATGCAGTTTAGATTGGCCTTGAGCTGATCTCGAACTCACAGTGATCCTCCTGTCTCATCCTCTGAGTGCTGGGAATACAGGCATGTGTGCCACCACGCCCAGCAACAATGGTCATTTCAACAATGACTCAAATTGATTTATAGTTCCTAATTAAGTACATTATAATTAAGATACCTCACAGTTGCTCTAATTAATGAAATTTAGAATTCTTAATGTTGAGAGGGAAAAAGTCTTGCTAAGTTTCTAATTTACTCAAGCTGGGCTCAAATTTGCAGTCTTCCTGCTACCACACTGGAGGTCTTGACATCCTAATCAAGAATTGAGCAGGACACCCAAGAGTTGCAGCAGGTTCAATGATTCATCTGAAAGAGAAAGACAAGAGTGGGGTGTATGGATGACTGTAATCTCAGCTTTTGTGGGGCTGAGGCAGGAGGATCACTGAGAGTTTGAGGCTAGCCTGGGCTGCAAAGTGAGCTCAAGGCCAGTTTGAACTGCATAGTGAGACCTTGTGTCAAGAAAGAGAAAAAAAAAAAAAGAAAGAGAGAAAGAGACAGACAGACAGATATTCCACAGGGTAGGAGGAGGCCAGTGAAAAGAGCTCCCAGCCTAAAATTCTTTTTTTTTTCTTCTTTTTGAAACAGGGTCTCGCTCTGCAGTTCAGGCTGCCCTTGAGCTCACTTTGTATCCCAGGTTGGTCTGGAACTCTCAAGGATCCTCCTGCCTCAGCCTCCTGAGTGCTGGGGTTACAGGCAGGAATATCTTTCCTACTCAGTTGTTTTCATTTTATAATTAATTGTTATGGAAAAGCATTTTATTGTTTATAATATCCATTTTACCATAGATATTTTATTAGTTTAATTATCAAGAAATTATCTTCCTTCCAGGACTGATTTAAGATGTATGATTCTATTCGCTTCTGGTTTTGTTTGTAGAGCTTTTTAATATTTAACATTTTAACTAACTTAAAATATATTCTGAATGTAAGACAATGTATGCTACAAATTAATTTTTCTCCATATTAATTTCCATTTTCCTTAACATAATATTTCTGATTCACTTTTATTACATAATCTCATTTAATTGGTCGTATATGAGATCTTAAGTGTTTTTATGTGTATTCTACTTCAACACTCTATTTTTTCTACTTAAGATATGTAGTACTAAAAAATAGGGACAACTATTTAAAAATTTATCAGACTACATCTTATACTTTTATTATCTTTTTCCAAAAATGTATCTTGAGGGCATAGTTTTTCAAAAACAGTCTACTGGGGCTGGGGATTTAGCTCAGCGGCAAAGCGCCTGCCTGGCAAGCGCAAGGTCGTGAGTTCGGTTCCTGGTACCGGAGAAAAACCAAAAAACAAACAAACAGAAAACTACATTATCTGTGCTTCTCCCATGTGGAAGAGCAACGGGTGTTAGAGTATGCCTGTTTCAGTCATTCAGCAAAGCCAAGGAAGACACACTTAGAAC